GGTCTTGCAAACCACACCCATCTGATTTACATAAGTCACACCATTGGTTCATTGAGCCCAGCATTGCGTGCACTGACCAGGGTTTCAGGAGAGAAAAAGTCCTACAAGGTCAGATTGGCAAATGAAATTAGCGTGCTTTCAAATGTTGGTTCAAGGAAAAAAATAGGTATTTTTAGTGAGGAGAATTCCCTTGATGCCAAAATCCAGGTTTGGGACAAGTTGTCTTTGGTGAGAGAACCCCAGCAAAGATTTAAGATAACAAAACATGCAGAAAAGTAAAGCACGGAAAATATAGGCTGTCAGACCTTTAAAATATGCCCTTATGAGATCTAAAATTTGCCCCTTCCCCAGTATAGAAAAAAGACTGCACCTTTGGTAAGGTTTAAAATGGTTTACTTACAAACTCTCCAAAGGTCAGATTCATACAGCATTCAGAAAAATTGCACGGGCAGCAAAATTTGGTTAGTTATAAATTATTGGTACAGGAACTCAGGAGAGGCATGTTAGAGTCATGCAGCTAAGTTTAGCCAGCTTAGCCTCTTCATACACTGAGCTTCTCAGACAGACAGGAGAAGAACAATGGCTTGATTACCTAGTCTCTTCCAAAGAGAGCTAAGCCTAGCAGGACAACTTACTCTATGGTTTTAACCCTTTCATACGTTCATTAGACTTAAGCATGTTGGTTATATGAGGCTGGTTATCCCACAATTTGTTTATGTCTTCTGGACCTCTGCTTTGGGGTCAGATTGTTCCTGGCCCTGGCCTGAAAGATTTGGATTACGAATGCTAATATTGTGAAGGGGTAGGGTGGAAAGAGCTTGTTCAAAGACCTGTGACCGCACTTGCAGTGCTAACATCAAAGAGCTGCTCATCACCTCAGAAACACAATACACACCTAAAGCTTCCTGGATTGGGGATTTGGCAGGCAGGCAATTTTAACAGAATTTAAACTGCATTAAATTTGTGCTTAATTATCACTCAATGTCACAGTAAACTCCCAAAGTGGGAGCTCCCTCCAGCAGCACTTCATTAGGTGTTATTGGATAAATTCATCCATCTGTCACTTAAGAATTAAAAAAAATGATTGCAAAAATTATGAAAGGGGTTCTGTCAAAAAGGAACACAAGGGCACAGGAAACATACGTGCTTCCAGAATTCAGCATTTGAAAGACAGTCCATGCAACGGTCTGCTGATTTATGCGTTACATTATATTTATAGTCTACGTTTCCTCCAAGGAGCTCCAGGAAGTGAAAACGGTTCTCCCAACCCACTTTCCTCTTCACAACACACCTGAGCGGGGGTCTGGTATACTGAGAGGTATTAATTGGTTCAAGGTCACCCACGAGTTGCACGACAAAGTGGGGATTTAAGCCTGGGTCTAACCCCAGGCCCAGTCTGGCAAAGGAAGTTAGGTCATTTATTTGTCTAGCTTAGTACTGCTGACATAGATCAGATACAGCTCCCCGATGTCTCAGAGTCTTTCCCAACCATGTGTCATGGACGCAGAGGAGTGGTGGGAGGCACCGGCTGGGGAACCCCCAAGGGAAAAAGCCTGAGAGCCTGGGGATTCGTGGTGGGATGACGAGAAGACTGAGGTGTTGTAAGCTGAAGAGGCAACAGGATTTAGTGAGCTGGGAGAGTCTGTGGCAGAGAGCAGTCCAGACTCGGAGGCAGAAGCGGAGGCTGGAAGGAGCGGGGCCAAGAGGCAGAGATGAGTCCGGCTGGGGATGAAGCCAGGGTGGCTCCCCCTCCAGCTGAGATGAGCTTCCTCAACCCACTCGACACGAAGAAGCTTCCTCATCCCTGCACAATGCCACACTGGCACATTGCTTCATGACCCACAGCAATGCACGTTATGCGCAAAAATGGGGTTGCAGCCTTTGTCCTTTTGCTGCTTACGTGCTGCTCCCAGTAATGTGTGCAAGCTTTCACTCACACAGGTATAATGACTCGCATGGTTATGTCCCTTGCAAGCCCGTGCACCCCTAACAGAACAGTGTGTCTAGCGTGGGTTGCAACCACTGCAAGGTGCTCTGCTTGTGGTGGTGCTCAAGTGGACTTCTCAGTGGTGGCCCTCGGACTTCAGAACTCCCTCCTTGGGGAAGTACAACAGTTCCTTTCATTGCTGGGCTTCAGGTGCCAGCTAAAGGCTTATTTATTCAACTAGCCTTTGGGGAACCTAGTTGCCCAGGGACCAAATCTTCGTGCGTGTTCAACTGTAGTTTTGGAAGGTTGAGTTTTTAAGACATTAATGGCATTGTGAATCAGTTTGTGTTGATGGGTTTTAATTATACTGCGTGCTGCTCTGGGCTGCCAATTGGGTGGAAGATTGGTTTTTTAAAAATGAATCAAAACAAACAAACAATATGGCGGAAATTGGATAATCTACCAGCAGCTGCACCAGATTGCAAGAAGTACATCGTTGTATGCAACACAGATTAAGTGTCATCCATGCTGTTACTATCTCAACAGTGAAGAAGTGTTTAATCGGCCCTACTACAACTAAGGAAACTATTCTTTAAGCAGGGAGACTTCAAGTAGAAGGTTGAGGATTGTTTCCTTGACAGTGGATTTGTCTGGTTGGTTACTTCCACCATGGGGTAATTATTATCAATTGCACCATGGAGGAATCCAATGACCCATGTGTTGTGACCATGCACCAAGACAAAACTCTGCATGGAGCCTACTATTAGACACGGTCAGCAAATTTCATACATGGTGCAAGAAAAACAGTTCAAATGCAACCAGTACAACCGTGGGTGGGCAAAGGATTGCCTCTGATATTCATCTTTACAGACACTAGTCTTAATAATTTAGTAATCGCGCTGGCCTCTCAAAGCCATTATGAGATTGAGATAAAAGCAAGAATGTCAGTGGTGGACACCGACCACTGCCTGCTCCAATGCAACCCCAATTTACAGATGTCTCTAGTCCTTATGACAAGCAGATGAAGTTTGAAAACAGGGTGAGAAGGTGCTGAATGAAAGAACACAGTAAAGATGGCATCCAGATTGAAGCAATGATGCCAAATTCCCAGTTGCAGAGCTTCCTCTGAACAGTAGATTAGTTTGCCACACGCACTCCTAACGTACAATTTAGCTATGGGCTTCCAGCTGATGATTTAATTCCCATCATCTTCAATGCTGAATGTATTGTTGACAGGCGCCTTTGGCACTAATCAAGATAGCAGCCACGTACGATGTGGCAGTCTTGGAATTTGTAGAATGATGTTTGCCCCCAAGACGTTAAGGGATGTGTCACGATTTGGTTTTGCATCCAGCCCTGCTCCAGTTCGAGCAAATAAGATGATCGTTTTGTGCCATCCGGTTGCCAAGAGCAGTGATGTTTTACTGGGCCAAGGAAGCATTTTTTTAAAAACAGCTGTCTTAGGCTGCCGTGCTACAATTTAAAGAGAAGGAATATATAATCTCCCCTCTTCCAAACTCCTCCAGGGAATTTTGGTATTAAAACATTGTTATTCACTCAGATGCTTTAAAATTTTATATTTAATGCAGCCTGGTGAAAGGGTGAACTGGACGCCTGCCCATCGCATTGCTGCTGTCTATTCTTTCGCAGCTTTAACGTAATTGCTTATTCTACATAATCCTGAGTCTGATTAACCACAGAAGTGACTTAATAGATTGTATGAGCTTCTTAAAATTTAGCATCACCTACACTCCCGACAAGACAGCTATATATGTGGCAAGGCCGTGCACCTAGGTGGTGTATCAAACATTTTTAGCCCACCAACCATAAAAGGGAGGTCCACAAGGGGCATGAGAATCTTCCTGTTTTTGCTGTGTGTCTGGCTGGTGGTGAGGAGCAAGAAAGAGGGAGTCCAGTGGCCGGCAGGCTGCATTTAGCTGGATAAGCCAAGATGGACCAGCCTGATTCACTGAAGAAAGCATTCCTTCCCATGAATCTCCCAACTCACAAGCTAGAATCCTGAACACTCAAAGAAAGTTGTACTGGACACAGATGTTATAAAATGGTTCTGGCTCAAGTTTCAGATTGCAGTTCTAGCTGCTACATGTCCTTGATTATGCACATGACAACACAGGTGGCATGCATGGCATGGGGGAAGACCAGTGCTTTTTTCTGGGGGGACGCATACCCCTAAACATTTTGTGAATCTAATGGGAGAAGAAACAAAAAATTTTAAATGTTTCGTTTCTTCTCTAGCACGTTGAATCGTCAGTTCCATTGCTACCCCCGATGGTGGCCTCATTTCCTGTCACTGTGTTTCCTGAGTCTCAGACGGAAGAGAGCGTTTAATGTGTGAAGTAGGAGTTGGAATCTAGCATGGTGATTGGTCAGTTTCATTGTTACCACCCCCAATGGCGGCCTCATTCCCTTTCCCAGTGTCTCCTGAGTTTCCGACGGAAGTGAGCATTTAATGTGTGAAGCAGTGTGGAATGTGGATGTGTGGTGTTTTTCTGATGAAAGTTTGGCCTCGTTGAGGGGCAGTATATGAGTAGGAAGATGTTAGTGCACACAACCTCATGCCAATGTGGAAGTTACTGTGGGCTGTCAGTTGTGTAATATGAGGTGATGCATGTTCTTTGTACTTCTGTCCATTTACTGTATTTATTTTCCCCAATTTGAACTATAAAATGGTGATTTTCTTGAGCCAAAATGAGAGTACTCCTAAATGTTGGTTTTTTTAAAGGAAAAAAGCACTGGGGAAGGCTTTCTTCACCTCTCTCATCACACCAGACGTCGTGGCCATCCTAGTGAAGCTGAATATTGAAAGATTAAGAACAGATAAAATAAAGAGCTTTTTTCGGGGTGGGGGGAAGCAGTGAAACTCCCAGACATTCCTGAACTACAAATACCATCAGCCACAGCAAACATGACCAACAGGCAAGGATGTTGGGAGTTGCAGTTCAGCAACATGTGAAGGCACAAATAAAACTACCTAGCATTGTTTTAAGCAATTCCACAGGCTATTCCCCCCCTCCCTACATTAAATGTACCAAAGCATTATTAGGGGAAATACCTCTTTTTTGTTCTCCTTGTTTTGTTCAACCTCGATATCGATAGGGTTAGTTCCATTTGCTTCTTCTATTTCATCCTCGCTAGAAAACAAAAGAGGAAGAAAAGTGCCACATTAATTTTCAGTAAACACCAGACAGATCACTTTAAAGAAAAGACAGTGTGCAGGTTCTAATACAACAAAATATAATCAAAAAGAGAATGCAAGAATCTTATAAGGAACATCCAGGGGAGATGCTCAAACTAAGGAAACAATCACACTATCACAAACCTAAATAAGTATTAATGTGACCTGTATTTAGAGAGACAGGTCATTCTTATATTTTAAGAGGCCATCTCACAAGAACTACTGAAGTAGACACAATCCATTACATCGTAGAAGAACTATAACAAAAGCCACTTCACTGAAAGGTCTACAGCACTTGTGATTACTTATACCTGACACCAAGTTTCCAAACCTTAGAAGCAAGTAGCTGCTTTTAAGCTGTTTCCTTTTATTTGTTTTAAATCATTATATATTATGGTTTGGGATTATTTGCTTTGTAAGCTGCCATGGCAGTTTCATATTATGTCCTTTTGGAAGGGGAACGATAAATACATTAAAAAAAAAGCCCTGAACCCTTTACATTTGTTTTTGTTTTTTTTAAATTCATGGGTCATATCCATCATCGCTGCTCCAATAGTGCAGCACACTTCTGCTTAAACAACAGAATCTTTCCCACCTCTCCCCCATCAGCCCTCTGCAAAATCAACCCAAGAAGGTTGACGACCACTCCAGGCAAAGTCTAAGAGCACATGGGAGAGGATAAGAAGGGGAGGATCCCATGGAACTCTGTGTGTGGAGTGTTGGTGACAACCCCATGTTAGCCCAAGCCAAGATGGAGCAAACCAACTGGCAGAAGATCCAACGCGCGAGAACATGAAAACAGCCTGCTGGATCAAGCCAATGGCCCATGTAGTCCAGCATCCTGTTCTCACAGTGGTCAACCCGATGCCTGTGGGAAACTAAGGAGCAGGACATGATACACAGGAGCAACAGTCTCCCTCCTGCGGTTTCCAGCAACTGGTATTCAGAAGCATTGCTTCCTTCAACTGTGGGGGCAGGGCCTAGCCATCGGATGCCCGTGAGTTCCAGTGTTATGAGACAGCGAGAGAAACCTTTCTCTATCCACTTCCTCCATCCCATGTGCTGTGGTCTAAACCACTGAGCCTCTTGGGCTTGCCGATCAGAAGGTTGGCGGTTCGAATCCAAGCGACGGGGTGAGCTCCTGTTGCTCTGCCCCAGCTCCTGCCATCCTAGCAGTTCAAAAGCACACCAGTGCAAGGAGATAATTATTATTATTATTATTATTATTATTATTATTATTATTATTATTATTATTTATACCCCGCCCTCCCCAGCCAAGACCGGGCTCAGGGCGGCTAACACCAGATATAAAAACAATTGATTAAAATACAACTTAAAATCAAGAATAAAATACAACATTAAGATGCAGCCTCATTTCAGTAGAAACTCAAATCAAAAACTTTTTGGGGATGAAAACATCTAATCTTCACCAAGGCCAACTATCCAGACTGGTCCAACGTGGGTCAGAAAAAAGCCAGGGAAGTCCCCAAATAGGAGTTCCATCACAGAAGGAGAAAGGAAAAAAGAAAAGAGGGGAAGGGGATCGAGTTGATTCCAAGTCAAAGGCCAGGTGGAACAACTCTGTCTTACAGGCCCTGCGGAAAGAAATCAGATCCTGCAGGGCCCTGGTCTCATGAGACAGAGCGTTCCACCAGGCCAGAGCCAGTGTTGAAAAGGCCCTGGCTCTGGTTGAGGCTAATCTGACTTCCTTAGGGCCCAGGACCTCTAGGGTGTTGCTATTTATGGACCTTAAGGTCCTCCGTGGGGCATACCAGGAGAGGCGGTCCCGTAGGTACGAGGGTCCTAGGCCGTGAAGGGCTTGAAAGGTCAATACCTTTAAATAAATAGGTATCGCTCTGGGGGAAGGTAAACGGTGTTTCCGTGCGCTCTGGCTTCCGTCATGGTGTTCCCTTGCGCCAGAAGCGGCTTAGTCATACTGGCCACATGACCCGGAAAACTGTCTGTGGACAAATGCCAGCTCCCTTGGTCTGAAAGCGAGATGAGCGCCGCGACCCCAGAATCGCCTTTGACTGGACTCTAACCATCCAGGGGTCCTTTACCTTTAACCATGCCGTGCATTATTTTACAAGCTTCTATCATGTTTCCTAGGGACGCGGGTGGCGCTGTGGGTAAAAGCCTCAGCGCCTAGGGCTTGCCGATCGAAAGGTCGGCGGTTCGAATCCCCGCGGCGGGGTGCGCTCCCGTTGTTCGGTCCCAGCGCCTGCCAACCTAGCAGTTCGAAAGCACTCCAGGGTGCAAGTAGATAAATAGGGACCGCTTACTAGCGGGAAGGTAAACGGCGTTTCCGTGTGTGGCTCTGGCTCGCCAGAGCAGCGATGTCACGCTGGCCACGTGACCCGGAAGTGTCTCCGGACAGCGCTGGCCCCCGGCCTCTTGAGTGAGATGGGCGCACAACCCTAGAGTCTGTCAAGACTGGCCCGTACGGGCAGGGGTACCTTTACCTTTACCTTTTATCATGTTTCCTGCCTTTTCCTCTAAACTAAAAAGTCTGAAACGCTGCAACTTTTCTTTGTGAGGGAGTTGCTCCATTTCCCTTATCATTTTGGTAGCCCTTTTCCAAAGCTTTTCCAACCCTGCAATATCCTTTTCCAGGCGAGGAGACCGGAACTGTACACAATACTCCAGTTGCACCGTAGATTTGTACAACAGCATTATGATACCGGCAGTTTTATTTTCAATTCTTTTCCTGATTATTCCCAGTATGGAAATGGCCTTTTCCAGAAGCAATTCCCACTGAGTTCAATGGGCCTTACTCCCAGGTAAGTGAATATAGGGTTGCAGCCCAAACGGGGCTGCACACAGATTTTCTTATTTGCTAAATCATACGGTATCTTTCTTTTCTTTTTTTTTAAAAAGGAAGGAAGGATAGAACCACAGGTGACAGATTTTTCCCTGCCAGGCACAAAACAGCATATGCTCTGCAATCTGTGTACGTGTTTGTTTTAATTCCTGGCTGAGTGAAAACGCGTTCTTGTCAATAACAAAAGAATAAACAACAGACATCAAACTGGAACAATATTGATTGTCATGGAACAGGCAGCATAAGGGCGTTGGAGGAAACCAATCAATCATTTTACTTGTATGCCGCCTTTCTAAAGTTAAAACCATGCTCAAGGTGACTTGCAACATGTGAAAAATTACATGGCTACAAACATAACAGAAGTAGTCCTAAGCAATAAACAAAACATAAAAGGTACACAGCCAAATCAAACAATTTCCACACAAATCCTAAGATCCAAAATAAAGATACAGTGGACGCTCGGGTTGTGAACGTGATCCGTGCGGGATGCACATTCGCAACCCGCAGCGTTTGCAACCCACAGCGGCGCGCCTGCACAAACGTGGGTTGCAATTCGGCACGTCTGCGCATGCGTGACTGCCGAAACCCGGAAGTAACCCGTTCTGGTTCTTCCAGGTTTCAGCGGTCCGTAACCCAAAAAAAAACGCAACCTGAAGCATCTGTAACCCAAGGTATGACTGTACATAAAATTAACAGCAACACACACCTCTGCAACAAAACACCTTAAACAATACTGCGGCCCAAGGGTCTGTCCAGCAGCTTCAGCTTTTGTAGCTGGAGTCAGTCCGGGCCCTGCCCTCCCAGGCCAGATGGGAAAACGAATGTAAGATCTTGCAAGCACTCACAGCCCTAAGTGATTCCTTTAGATCTTTAACCAATCCCACACTGAAGTATCAAGGTGCCTAATAATGACTTTAAATAAACCCTCCCCAGTTAATAAAACAAAAATGTATTAGCAAAGTATTTCAAAGCCATCTGTCACCACTATCTACAATACCAGCCATGAAGGCAAATATTTTATATTCTGGGATATATTTGTGATAGTTAACATTAGCCATGCTCAAGAGTAGACCCACTGAAATCAATTAACTTGTATCCATTGATTTCAATGGGCCTTATCACCCTATGAAAGCACCCCACACTGGGTGGGATATAAATAATAAAATTATTATTATTACTATTAATTATTATTTTTATTACTGTCAGTGATAAGCTGTCAAACGGGGCCTGCAGACTCAGTGGATTTTTTTTTTTGTTTGTTTGTTTATATTCACTTACATGCTGCTTAATCAACAGAAACCTCTAAGCAGTTTATATAAAACAATATAAAATATACAAGGAAATAATACTTAAAATGAAAGTTTGTTCCGTTCAGCTATGGGGGAAGTAAGCCCAGGCGGAGATCTACTATGAAACTAATTAAGCTTAAGCTTCCAGGCCCCTAATCCGGGGGGGGGGGGGGGAGAAGCGACTTTAGCCCATATTGCTTTAAAAAATGGGTCTAGTAGATTAGTTTTTTTGTTGTATATATTAAAACAGTCCCAAAGTCTGAGAGTCAGTGGCACAGATGCTGTAAAGGTGGAGTGTCACGGTAAACTGGCTGTTTTCCTGAAGAGCGCTTTAATTCTTTAGGCATATTGTCTCTAGAAAATGACATTTTCGTCTGAAATTGTATGTGCATGTTGTTAGAAAAACCAGAAAAAAGAGTATTTTGTAAAACGTGCTTCATGTAAAATGAGATGATCCAGCACAGCAATTCTAATCAAAATCTGAGATGTAGTAGTAATTATTTTAGTTTTTTAATGTGGTGACCTGTCGTGGAACAACCCCATTGAAGAAGATAACAGTGGTTAGCCAGACTTCGTTGCTGGTTGTGATGGGCTCAAACTTCAGAGACCCTGAAATGTAGGTCCTCCACTGAGTAAGACTAATTTGTACCAAGACTAAGGACAACTGCTGTCTCACGTGCATAATCAAAGAAATGCAGCCACAAGAACTAGAGGAAGCAGCCACTGCAAGGACAATGGCACATGGACACAGGGTACCCAGTCACATTCCACCTATCTCAGTACCGTTTAGGCTGACCAGTAGTGGCCCACCACAATTTCTTCCCATCCCTACCTGGAGGTGCCAGG